ATTTTGAGAGATTTTTCATGAAATTCAAGTGCTTTCAAATGGTCTCCCATTGAACTGTGTATTGTACCAATGTTGCCATAGCTAATAGCTAAATCTACATGTGTAGAAGGAAGAATTTTTTCTTGAATTTCAAGAGTCTTTTGATAATATGAAAGTGCAGTTTGATCATCGCCTAATGAACTATAAGCCGTTCCAATATTATTATAAATACTACCAAAATCTGGATGATTGAGAGGAAGAGATTTTTCTCGCATTGCAAGTGTTTTTTGTAGAAATCAAGTGCAGCCGCATAATCACCCATTGAACTATAAACTGATCCCAAATTATGGTATGTAGTAGCTAACAAAGGATGATCGGCATAAAGAGATTTCTGTTCAATCTCAAGTGCTTTTCTATAAAAAGATAGAGCTAATGAATATTCCCCCCATTGAATGATGTACTCCAGCAATATTATTGTAGGTAGGAGCCAATGACGAATCATCTTCGGCAATATAATTCAATTCCATTTCAAGTGCTTTTTTGTAATGTGATAAAGCAGCTGTATAATCACCCTTATGACTATAAACATATGCAAGTTGATGATTGATATGAGCTTGACTACGCCAAGTTTTTTCATTTTCAGAATTGAGTTGTGTACCAAAGATTTCTTCAGCTTGATTGAATTCGCCCAATTTTAACATTAAACTTTCTAATCGATCTAAAGGATTACCATTTCCAATCTCTTTTCTAAAATGATCAGTCAATACTTTGAGTGTTGGATCATTATCACTTGTTAGACTTAAGTTAACGAGCCAATATTGATCTTGAATATGTAGAACATCAATAATACGAAAAATAGTATGCATAGAGAAAAGAATTTCATTTTCATATTTGTAAGAACTATTTTCTTCTAAATAAGCAAATGGAACGGATGATTTTGTCGGATCAATAGTCATTTGAAAGAGTATTGCATTTACTTTTGGATTCTCGGCTGCACGTATAGCAAATTGTACTGAAACATTTAAATCTAGACTGGTTGATAAAAAACTATTGAATGAAAGAAGACCACCGATGCTATTTTTCAATCTATCAAAATCATCTAATAACATACTTTGACCACGATATACTGTTATTTCTTTGTGTCGATCACTTTGTTCATTATACATATTTGAAATTTGTTGATGAAGATCACAAATAAAAAATCTCATTTTCATAAAAGTTTCAATATCTTGTGATCGTAGAGCACGATTCATCATCGAATATAGAAATGATTCTTTTGTATACTATTCAATAGCTAACTGATTGTTGTATTCTAGTTCAAAATCATCGATAAGTCCTAGTTGAAATTCATTATCAGCATATTTAATACGACAGAATTCGACCAATGCATTCTTCTCTTAATAATCATATTTCATATCGAATAGAATTTCTTTAAGTAATTGCGTATACATAAATGATTTGTCTAGTTCATTAGGCTCACTATCTTGAATCTCTATTTCGTTCTTCGGTAGGATACTAATCGGAGGCACACTACCTATTTGACCACTATCGGCTTTAATTGCTTGAAAGATCTGTTCCATATCATGAAAAATTCCTTTCACTTTTTGTGCCCATTTATTAGCCCAATTTGCTCGTAATTGTTTTTGTGGATTAAATATATAGATATATTCAAGTTGTGGTTTACCGAAAATAATTAGTACAAGTTGTTCACCAACTAGATCCGAAACAATAAGAACGACTGTCTTCTCATTGATGGTATCAATACAATCAGTACATTGATCAGAATTAGTGAATGTATAAATCAAATTGGTAATGCGGTTTAGTTTAGTGATTGAGTCTTGATACAGTTTTCCAAGATCATCTATATGAGGATCTACCCAAATAATAACCAAATTTTGATTGATATCATACTGGGAATGTATTGAAGGATTGGCAGACTTTTTTCCTCCAGTAGATAATTTTAAGATTGTTGAGCTTGCTTTTGATGAAGCACTTGTAGTTCTTTTTGCTGGACCATTCTGGGATGTGGCAGAAGGTGTTCGAGTTTGTCTACCAGTCTGAGATGTTATTCGCTTTGCTTCACTATTCTGAGATGTGGAAGAAGGTGTTCGAGTCTGTTTATTAGTTTGAGATGTTGCACTTGTTCTTCGTTGGATTACATCTTTTTGCGATAAAGAACTTAGTATTTCTTTCGACTGGCTATTGGTTTTGATTTGAGAAGTTGTAGAATTAGTAATCTGAGTGGCTGCCGACGGTCCACAACCCATGGAGAATAATATAACCTGGTTTGTAATAATATATTCGAATGTATGCTTCTAACGAATGAAAAATTTTCTTGATGTTCTTCAAATTTCTCGGAATCAAAATTTCGTTTTTTTTCTTAAACAAACACTTTAATGGCCATATGTAACATGTCTCTTTCGGCTGCCATTATAATATGTAATGAAATATAGAGAAAAAAAAATTGCCATCAATAAGGCAGAGGCATGTTAAAAATACATACATTCAACGATTGTCATGCCGATGTCAGCGATTCAGCACAGTCGAAGGTAGTGAGGGATTCAAATGAAATACTCAAGCAATGTTATATTTTTCAGTGACGACAGCATATTTAAAAAAACACTTGAATTGATTCTCTTTCTTCCTTTCTTCATGTTTACAAAATAAGTTAGACTGTTTTAAAACAACAAGTATACCTCTGTATAGCAGTATAACAGGGTGTGGGTGAAGGAGATATGCAAATCAGATCCACATCCACACTCACAAGATTTGTTAATGAAAGTAAAATGATATTCTATCTAGAATAAAATCAAAATAAATCACTTTCATGTGCTAACAACAATAAGACACTTCGAATTGTTTTTATGATACTTATAATATCAGAATGATTTCAAATTATTACATCTAAATTAATTTTATTTGTACGTCCTAAAATGATTCATTAATATTCTTTTTTTTGTTTCATCAAAGATAATTTTGTTCTACTAAAAACAAAATATCATTTGTTGTAAATGAAGAACAACAAATCTCAAGATAAGAAAGGCCACGTTTTTATAATATAAAAAAATACAAAACCGAATGAAATAAAGACAAAGACTAGTAAATTTGCATCAAAGTTAGTGTCATTTTTTTTCTTGTAATATGAATCAAATATCCTAGATTGTGACTAGTTTCTCAAAACTGTCATACAAAGAGATGAAGAGTCATAATTTTAATATATAGAAAATAAACAGCTAACAGATTTAATTAATTTTATTTTAGAAAAAAAAAAGATATCGACGTTATTATGTAGTTGAATTTCTATAATCAGAGATGCAATAGGGACGATAACAACTAATCCATCACTCATCAATCACGAAAACTTCTTGAGTCTGACCCAATAGTTACTATGAAACTAACAGTCAGTCATGTGTCCACATTCTTATACAATTGCAGCCAAGATGCCTTGAGAAATGCATAGGGTGTTGTGTTATATATTTCATAATAATACGTTGATTCATATATATGTGATGATTTATTAAATTTGATCTTCTTCACTTTTATCTCTCTTTATATTACTATCGATGGCAAAATATAATGCGCCTCGATATTTTTTAAATATCTCGAGAATGAAAGCAGCTAGAAACCTGCGATTTTCACCATTCGAAAGAGAAATGTGGGAGAAGTAGAACTCTGTCAAATTTGATTGGTCAATAATCGACCAATCGTGTGAGCGTTCATCGGACATTTTGAAGACTGCCTAGGGAAACTATTTCTCATTGGATTTTAGATTCCAATATGATCATTCGATGGGAAAAATTCTTCCCTTTCGATCTACGCAAGGCTAAGCTTGCTTTGTTCAAGAGCTATAAGCATTTTCCTGAGACCTCTGAAATCGGCCAGCCAATCTTCAATCATCCTAAAATAGGTCACAATATGGGTAACTGATCATGCTGAGTTTAGTGATGATGTTTGTTTTTAGTTTTAAAGCAATTTTAAGTCAGTATATCAAAGTTTTTGATTTATCTGTATTCTCACTCGAGATATCTAAAAAATATCGAGACGCATTATATTCTAATGTCGATAGTAGTAAAAGATGCTCCAAACTTTGTTTAACTAGAATATATTATCCATCGATAGACTATTAAAATCTTCATTTACAAATCCTAGTAACAAGATAAACGTATGAGATTGACAGCGAACAAGCTGTGTAAGTCATATCGTTGTAGCTAAACCTCGAATGGTATCTACGAGTTGTGTACTCTATCTTTTTGAACCTAGCAATGATAAGAATTGTTAAAGGTGTTCTTCTTCTTCTTGTATTCATTAAGTTATATTAGTTTTGCTCGGATTATCAACTAATGGAAAGCAACGTAAGACAACAACGCATATGTGGCTTGCTCGGTGGCTTGACGTATATTTCGACAGTTGATGTAAGTCATGAACTAAAGAACTCTTACCTATATGTTCTATTGATTGAAGTATTACAATTATATAAATCGTATGGTTAACGAAGCATTACCAGGTCATAGTAGTTGTATTCACATCATATCGGTGAATATTTTCCATTATGTCAAATTACTCGAACAAAGTGAATGGTCAAAGGCTATCGACTATCTTGTTGAAGGTGTTCGTCAATTAGTCAATAGCGGTATTGATTTTCTGGTAATTGGTTCGAACACGGGTAATGTTACTAAATTTCTTTTCTTTCTATTCAATCTGTCTGATTAGCCCATATTGCTGTATCACGAATTGCTGAATGTTATCCAGATTTGGTAGTTCTACACATCAGTGATGCTGTCGCTCATGCTATAAAACAGAAGAAAATTCACAAGGTAAATTTTGAAGAAATAAGCAAAACAGAGATTCAACGATATATCTAGATCGGATTTTTGGGTACACGTTTTACGATGAAACCGGATAGTTGCGCTGTTCAACGTTTGATTGAGCATGGGTTCGAAGTGATTTTTCCGAATGATGAAGAGATAGTGCAATTAAATGATATTATCATGAAAGAATTATCATTTAATATATTCACTGAAGAATCGAAACAAACCTATGTAAAAGTAATTCAACGTTTGAAAGATGAACACAACGTCGAAGGCATTGTTCTTGGTTGTACCGGTGAGAATTTCAATGTAATCGATTGAAATTGAATATGTATCTGGTTTTTTT